ACTCAGCGGCACTAAAGCGACGAACCAAAACATCGATATGGAGACTAATTTCCATTCTGTGTCCATCGTTACCACGTCCGAGAAGGATATCGAAGCTATGATCTACGAATTAAAAGGTATTCTTACTAATCTTTCTATATATATATATATATATATATATATATATATACAAAAATAGAAATATAGTAGACAATATACAGAGTCATTAGAATCAATTATAAATTCTGCCATATATAAATTCGAACTCTACATCTAATGTATGAATCAGAGTATCGATTCATCCTATGCTATAGTAGCTCATCCGTCCGATTGTATATATTTTTCAAACATAAAACGCTATGTGTGTTATTATAAAAATTATATAAATATTGTAACCGCTATCGAATGGATGTCTGGTCTAACAGAATAATTTAATAATGAACGTTGCAAAATAATAATTTTTGTGAAAGATGTTATTCGATTGAATTGTAAGAATCGAATAACATATTTCAAAGCAAGCCAACCTGTATATGTTGAGAGATAGTGAATCTTTTTTTCTCTTTTTACAAATTACTGTTATCATTCTCGATCGAAATCATGCGATGCAATTTCTATGTGGGCTGACCATCTCAGAGACACTCGATACATATTTACACATCTCGATCTATACATATTATATACTACAGAAACACCTTTTGTTTTTTATAATGGCTGTGTGCTCTCCTGTGCAAAAGCGTTGCCTGGTATAGCCATGTGTTGTTTATTTTCAGACAAATAGCAAAGTCGAGATTATATTTGTCTAAAGGTAATACACGAAACTACGAATGATGAACATTGACTTGTTATCTCTGTACAAATCAGTGTCGCATGAAATGCTTGATCCTTTCATTATTGATCCGTATGCGCACAAGAAAGGCCTGTAAATATTATGCATCACACATAATTATATTCATCAATTATTATCTATTCTTCTCTTCCCTCCGAATTTACCAGAAAAGGTTTACTATCATGTACAGATGTTATATGGAATGTTCAACCTTGTCACAGCTTTGTATTATTATATATATATATATTATATACATATATATATATATATATATATATATATATATACATACACATATACATATATATGCATTAGAAACATTAATTTGATATACCTTCCTTTTGTCCGTTCCTTTCCTTTGAGCACTTTCAATTTAAGTATATGAATTGTGAACCCCCGATGTAATGTGAAAGCTCGTGTTGCTTTTCCCGATAAACTTGTCTCTTTGTCTGCCTATCGTATTTATCTATGTATATTTCTTGCTTACTTCGTACAGCTTCATTGGAACAACCTGGTCAGGAGCTCGCCGAACTGGAAGCTAAGCTGCTTCGAATTGAACAATTGCAAATCGAGTTGGAGGTACGTATCCCGTGTATAATCCAATTGTTGCAAATATAGACATTCGACCCGAATGTATATGTAACTATTTTTAAGATCAAGAAATTGGAAGCAGAGGAAGTATCTTACTACGTTCGAGAGATACCGAACAAGCCACCTCCTCCTTATACTCCACCTGGTCGATTATCGGCTTCGCTCGGTTCACCTTCGCTAGTCACTGCCGTAATCCCATCAAACGTCGAAGAGCTAACATCATTCACTGAGAAAGCCACAGCTCTGATATACAACGCTAAACTGGCCGGTGAAGATATCGCGAGTTTGGAAGCGCCTCCTGAGATCTACGAGTTGATCGAAGACAAGAGTGAGAAAAGGGACAGGCGTATCTACAACACTTTCCTTTTCGATCTCTGTAAAGAGACCATTGTGGAAGTCTATCGAGCGGAATATGAGAAGCCCGGCCCGAGTTGGACAAAGCCGAATGTGAAAACGAAGCCTACGATGAAGATTCCAAAGAACGTCGAGGAACTCGTCGAGTACGTTAACAAAGAAGTCGCTACACTGTTCGGTTTCAAGACAAAATTGCAGCGGGAAAACATGGTGATGCGATGGAGCAGGAAACGCAGAGACAGGGTCGACGAGTTGCTGGCGAGAGAGGCTCAGGCTGAGGAGGACGAATGGACAAAGTTTCATCACGATGAGTTGGCGGTAAAGAACGGACTTACGGTAGCTATACTGGATACTCTCATGATAGAAACTGCAAACGTGATGAAAATAGCATATGGTAAAAAGAGGAGAATGATGGTATAGCGATTGTTAACCTTTATAACTAAATAGAGGCACTATCTTGCAATTCATTGTTAATTAAAACGAACAAAAGTGAAAAATATCCTCTCAGTCAATGTTTCCTCAGGACTGCATTTCGGATATCACATTATTTGCACTTTTGTCTATTAGTACCTTAAGTGTAACATAGGCTGGTTCCTATTTATTTGTTAACTATGCAATTTGTTACTCTTCTTTCTTTTATATTAAATTAATTAAGCGGATGCGTGTGAATGTTCAAATATAAGTAGACAAGCTACAATAAAATATATGAATGACAAGAAAGAATGAAAGAGAGAGGGGGGGGGGGGAAGATATGTAATTAATACTAGCCATTCACAATTTGATAATCAAATACCCTAGGTCAGTTTTAAAATTTATTTCTTGTTAATGACGAGTTTAACGAGTTTCTAGCGTTTAACAATAATTATACATATGTACGGGCTATCATAGAAGAAACATGTGGTACTATACGTTTTTACGAAAATGACAAATATTAATCATCGAATATTACAAAGCGTTTTGTTCAATTTAACTTGCACATAATTATTAGATTAATAGCAGAAATATGATCTCTTGTTATACAACTTTTATATTTTGCTTCTTCTATATATAGTGCGTGTTATCAAAATATTTATGCTGTAGTTTATCGAAATTGTATAATATATTATCCTAATAATTATATACGCGACATTTATGCATAATTGAACGAAACGTTTTCTGGATTGCCGTATGTAAATCATATTTTAGTGAAATAGTAGCACATAAGTAGCAAGTTTCAATAAGTCACGTTGGACAGCAGTCACATGCTCAATTACTTGTAATGAAATTAACAAAATTCAAACGGAAAGACTGACATTTCGGGGCCATTTTGATCGAAATTACGAACCGTTAAATGAAGTACATAGTTCGAGATTGTAGCAAACGTCGACTATACAGGGTGCATAAACATTTTATTGGAAAAATTTTTCTTCATTTTATATGTAAATATATATATATATATATATATATATATTTATATAAAATGCTTCAAATGTCTCTAAACCATGTCTTATATGCTTCTCCTGCATATTGATTTTTAAATTTTACGAAAAATTAATTCTTGTTCTTTTAATAAAACTTCGCGTATATAGGCCCTGTAATCATGTAGAATTATAAACAGTCAAGGTTGAGTCCTATATACAGTCATTACATTTACTCTTTTTATCGACGAAACTACCTGTAATTTGTTAATGGACTGATAATTGATCAATATGCGTTTTAGTTCAATCGCGTCGCCTTTCTGTTTCACTCGTATAGTTATTTTATGTTCGTGGTTGTGATGTAAATGTTAAGACTTACGGGAATGCGACGGTGGCACATTAAATACTGTGGGCAAATATAACTCTTATCATCTTCAGCATTATGGTATTGAATGTGCTCCGTCTTGAAATTCTTGTACGCTGTAGAAATATAAATACTGCAGCGCTCAAGTGCGACGTCCAGCGTTGTTCCTTTATACGCGGGTAACATCGCTTTTTGTAATTTTAATTAGAACGTAATTTTTACTGAAACTCTCTTGTGCGGGCCGCCCTGATGAGCCTTTCTCCATTTGCAGGGTATTCTTATGTAGAGTTGTTCACAAGTCTCTTTATATTAACGATTCTCGGCCGCGTCAGTAGTTGTTACAGAGATTGTTTACGTATGTAGTGTTGAATATGTACTTAATTAAGGTATATTTTATAATAAACTTTTTCTGAAAAGAGAAAAACACTTTCTATTTTCTTGCACATGTACAAGATAAAAAGATAAATTAATAATACCTATAAATCAAATAATTCTCTACTATAATATATTTAAAATATCGAAATTTCAATGCAGAATTAAGTAAAATATTTGGAAATAATGATTACAATGAATGAAAAGAATGACAATAAAAGAATTATTTAATATATGAAACATAGAATCTAATTATGGAAGATTGGTTTTTAAAAAATAAATTACACATAGTTGTTCATATTATATTATTTTGATAATTCATCCATTCATAAGCGTACAAGATTTTACATAATTATAAAGTATATTCCTGTATCATAATCCGATTAATGTGACAAATTTTTTCATATTATTTTGTAGGGTATTTGCAAATCCTTCTAAAATTAATAAATTTAATAATACTACGTACATTTTCTGCTATTTTTAAAAATCAGGAATCGATTACAAGTAAAAATTATGAAAATTCTTGACATAATGTAGACAAGTCCTTAATCTTTAATTTGCAGCTGCAAATAGTTGACAAAGTCAATAAAGAAACTCTACGAAAAAAATAAAATTAATTAAATGCAATAGATCCATGTATATTTTTATAAAATAATAAAGTTGTAGTCACAAAATCGAATAAAATCAAATAATTCTTTGATAAAGTAGGATGATAAAGTAGGATTATATGTATTATAACAAAATATCTAATATATATTAAATATAGATACTAAAATAATAAAAAAAATAAGCATTATATATATATATATATATACACATGCATATGTATATGTATATATATTTGTATATGTATTATATATCTATATGTATATAATATTAAATCGTTCAACGATTTGTCATTTCAATAGAATACGTGAAAATGACTAGATTCGATTCTTTAATGCTTCAGTACTGAAAAAAGTTAAAAGTTTAATACACGTATATACATGCATCGATAGCATATCGGATTATTGCACGCATATTAAGTTCAAGTTCTGTAAAGTACGAACTTTAGCTAAAAAGTTAGCTTTGCACGCTGAGCAACTCTTGGTCGTACCTTTTTTGGTTTTTTTTTCCGCAGGAAGAAAAAATCTCATTTAGAGCAAAAAGTCTCGCTAAACACTCTGCTGATTATCGGTCAATCTACAAAGCGCGAGTTTCTATATTCCTTTATGGCAGCCTATAATGAGTAAAATTAGCATATACAGACAGTATTCTACCGAAATCGTACAGTTTATAATCATTCGTCGTTGCTATCCTATTACATGCTATATATGCACGAGACTGTCGTAATCGATCAGCACCAGTGAAGAAAACATTGATCACTCGTTATCAATAAGTCTTAGAACTGGTATATAGTATCGAAATTCTTAATACGTTTCAAAGTACTAAAGTTCATCAATTTGTATGTATCGGTAACATGTATTTTGCGATCTACTGTCTCCGAGAATGATCCGCGTCTTTCGATCCCTCCCCAGTATCGTTCGTGTCTCTCGGATGATCCTTGGAATTTCTGTCTTTGAAATCGCGAGAATGATAATAATGATTGCTGTCTCTTCGCGATGCTTGACCTCTGTATTTGCGATTGCTGCCGTCGCGACCGTAATTGCGATATTCGCGTGATCGATAAGATGGTGATTCGAAACTAGCCGCTTCCGCTGATTTCACGCTACCATTCTGAAGTTGCGGTAAAACGGTCGAGTCTGTATCTGCATGATGATCTTGCTTCTCGTGCCGATTCGTGCTGTATCTGTAATAATTCAGTTTTTATATATCCTATCCTTCAATGTCTCGTAATAACTCCTTAGACTTTTATTGAGACTTTGAGATAATAAATTTTAAAAAGTTATAGAATCAAATTCTGTACCTCGGTGATCTACGATGCCAATAGCTCGGTATTGGTAACGGTGGAAATTTACGAGAGTTTTGTTCCTGTGTCGTACTCGTGGGCGAACCACGATTGTAATGGCTATTATTACCGTCACGGGAGCGCCCACCTCTGCTTGTACTAGCATTGTTTGCTGAAGAAGCTGCACGTAACGAAGCTATTTCCTTTTTTTGATCCATATTTTCCTTGTGTAACCGTTTCACCATCGCGTATGATTCCTCTAAAAGTACAACTAAGCTCGCTTGTACGGGATCCCCGACTTGAATTCCAACATCTGTTACTTCGATTTTGTTCTTCTGATCTTCTGTTACATCCAATCTTCTACAGAATAAAGGAAAGAAACGTTAGCTTACTATTACGGCGTCTATGTAATATATTTTCGTATAAAACTAACTTTTTTTGCTGCTCTATAATATTCGACAAGTACTGGTTATGTGTTTTTGCCTCTTGCAATGATACCTTAATGTCTTGTAAGTCTTTCTCCAAAAGTTCCACTTGCAGAGGTGTTACATTGACACATATTGGGCTACCCTGTAAATTCAAATAAAAATTGAAATCTTTATATCGATACTCAAAATACATTTTTTGAGTGAAAAGTGACAAAGACATAAATATTATAAATGCTCATAATAATATTATATCATAAGTACTTTTGATTTCGCAAACCCATTTCCATTATCTTCGGGTGAAGAAGGACTGCTAGCCGCACCATAGGGTGTTCTTTTGGAAAATACTAATTGAAATTGCAGATCTGCAGAGATTTATAAAATGGATTAGGACCAAGATACTCAAGGAAAGTTAATATTTTTATTACCTCGGTTTCTTTGACGTAAACATTCTATTTCTTGGTGTAAAGCAACCAAAGTTGTCTGATGTTGTTCCTGTAAAAATTTCATGTTCTGTTCCAGTTGCATGACTCTATCTACATTTAGACCTTGATGCCTAACATGTGCGAATCCATCATTTCTCTAACCAGGTCAGGTGGGTCTTTTCTTCCCTATAAGAACAATTGTACAATTCAAATTTGGAACCTTTTTCTCTTTTATTTAAATAAATGGTCAAACAAAAATATATTCTCATCTATGAATTTTACAATATGTACAAGAATTTATGCTCCACAGTACCAACTGATAATTAAAATACAACTAAAGACATGAACATATTTTGATTAAATTAAAGAGCAATATTTAACACATTGTACTATAACATTTAATGAAAATATAAGATGACTCACTTGAGGGAAGGGCACTGTTGGTAGTTTCATTAGCACTTTAGATGTCATACCGAAGTTGTCAATATTAATTAGAAATTAATTGTCAACACCCTAATTGCTTCGCCCTTGTCTATTTTTATACTTATTTCTTCCAACGATCCAAGAAATATCACGCGTTCAAACTACACATCAACACGATCTTGCGGCTTAAACTTGCTAGCGCAAATGAAGCTTCTTTACGTATTCTAACGTAAGCAATCTGGAGGAAAATACATAATTTCACAATTATATTACTCGCAACAAATATAAAAATCTAAATATTGCTAAAACCCATGAAAAATCCAGTTAACACTTGCGATCACACTGAGAGACATTTGTGCTGTTTCTCGAAAACATAAATCTAAGGAGCCATTTCATCATTTGTTTTGCATTTGTGTAAGTAAGTGGAGGAAGGAGATGAAGAAACGGTAATAGCTATTAATCGAGCGTTACTGTGTAACTATCTATTTTTAGATCGAACACGTCGCAAAATCGACAAAAATGTACTTTCTTTTTAACGTGATTGTCAAAAAGGAGACATGGATAATCATAGGATTTAAAAACACTTCCCTCGGAGCCTACAACTTATACAACGCCATGCCCAGTGGGAGTCTATGCTTAAATGATACCGAGAAACAATTCGATTGCGAGACAATTAGTAAGAATATCGACACACCGCGTAAAGACTATCGTTAAATGCGTATTCGAGAAAATTAATCTCATGTCGATCGGGCCACCTTACCGAGTATACTCGAGTGTCTCGAGCTTGCGGGAAGCATTCGCAGGACGAGAAGCGGATAAATTACGGAGTACAGCGAAATCTGAGGGTTGAACCGGTTGAATGAGAACGTCCTGCGCGCGCAGCGTTGCGTCACCATGTCGTCACCGATTGGCCAGAAACGTTCAAACGTGACATGATCCGAAGCGCGAGACTCGAATGGTCCTCGACGCGATTTCATTGCAACGATCGTTTTCCTCGTAAACACGACAGATGCGACCAGGGAAGAACTCAAGAACTTGGTTGGCCGATGTGCAATTTTACCTTCGCATTTTCGCGCCGTCGTGAAGAATCACGAATCAATTTCACGTCCGCCATTCGAATCCCGCGCGCTTTTCACAATCGACGAGTAGTCGGCTTATCGCAGGGATGCTCAGCCGCTTTCTCGCATCGCGTTGCTTCTTCGCTTCGTTCCACGAAGGCCGTTTCTCGTCGCGATGAGACTCGCCTAAATTTAAGTCAGGACGAGTAATTATCCGCGAGACGTTCGCATCAGCGATGCATCAGTAAAACGGATGGAAAGTCCACTTTTTGAGAGCGTTCCACTTGACGCTCGTAACCGCTCGCAACGCTCATGAAATAATTTCATCCTTGTTGTTTATCGATTGTTAAACAAGGACAAATAATACTCAAGAGCGTTGCAAGCGCTAAATGGAACCTTCGTCGAGGTTCGCGTGGAAGTCGAGGGTTGAGCACCGCGATTACACCCTGTTCATCACGGGGTGTAACCCGCGCCGCCGAATCGCACGAGTATTGATCTGCGGCGCGTGGCCGCGCCCACGTCTTTCCCGATCATATCTCACGTAACCAGCACGCTTTTCAACGCGTGAACGACAAAAATCTACAAACCTCGACGTTTAATTGCTTCTCGTCTTCGTCGTCCTGCGAAAAATTTTAATTTTTTTCCAGAGCGCTTCGATTCAACTCATTCAACTTGGCTACGTTTAGAAGTTTCATCCGAGAGCGACCATCAGGTAGCATTTTGTTCTTGTTCAACAGTGAATAACAAGGAGATAAAATGATACCTGCACTCGGATAAAGTCGGTTTCTGAACATAGTATTTAATTGGGTTCGCTACAAGTTTTCGGTTTAAAACTCATTCGAAATTCGAATCGCCATTTTTTTTCCCCTCGAGAGATTATTGAGAAAAAAGTTTTGATCGAGCATCTGAATTATTGTAAAGCCGGTATATGAAGCGTTGATATCAAAATGCAAGCTTCAGATTGACCGTCGCAACAAACTTGCGATCGGCTTGCAACTAATGTAGAACCGGTTTATTGAAAAACGCTTCATATATCGATGTCGAAGTGCGATCGATATACATATCAATACATATATATAGCGATTCAGTAATTCTCTTCGTCGGTTCGGATTTCCGTTTGCGTTTCATCGCGAGGGATATCGATCGAGTATCGTTGGAACTGACCTTGAACCCACTCTGAGAATCCAACAAAGGAGAGACATCGATTGATTCGTGTCGCGCCAATTTCAGCCTGTACGAACCGGACGAGGAACTCGCATTCCCAGGTCCTCCGCGTTCCCATGCAAGGAGTTGTACCACGGCGTCCTGTTTTTTAAAATCGTATTTCCCTCCTTTTATACCCATCGTTTATGGCACGTCCGAGGGGACGCGAATAAACGCGGACCCCTCGGAGTATCGGACATAACCAAGGGACAGGATGTCACTCCTCTTGAATCCCGTGGAACCCGTTCACCTGAATGACAACGAGACGGAGGATTCGTACTTTTCTGGAAATGAGAACGATGATTATAACTTTAAGGTAGATTATGCAGAATCTCGGAATAATATTTAACGCTCGTTTTGCATTTATATCCCCCCCTCCCCCACTAAGTAAAATAGCGTAAACTATTCCAGTAAACATTTCAGTATCAACAGTAACAAGACATCAATGTTATAATTGTTATTTGTTATATAGTGAATTCTCTCAGTCACTTGCATTATACACTAAATTAGTGCATATTAAAAACTATACATGAAATTAGCAAAGTTAAATATAGAAGCATATAAATATTTTTTATAAATAATATCCTATAATAATAACAGTGTCACATTGTTTAATATATCAGTATTATTTCATGGTCAAAGTTGATTATACATTATACCACTGCATTTTATTTTATATAAAGCAGCTGTTTAATGTACACTAATCCAGTGTAGTGCGAATGATAGTAAATTTATCACTCACAATTAATATAACACCAATTTCTAGTATATAACATCACATTATAATTTTACATTGAACAAAGTAACTGTTATGTATATCATATATTATATTATATTTATATTGTTGAGCATGAAATTATAATATTAATATTATATTAGTTGATGTTTACTGGGACATTTTAAAAGTTGGGTGTTTATATTAATATCAATAGGTGAGAATTATATAAACATTATATAAACATTACAGGATGTTCAATCTATATATTTTTTAGAGTATACACTAACTGTTTGTTTATAAATTCAAAATCATGACAGATTGATATCATCTCCATTAAACTCAATTTCTGATATAATCTACAAAAGTGATCTAACAATAAATTGCTAACAAAAATCAAATAGAAAATCTGTCTCATTTCATAATAATATACATATATTATAAATTATTATAGAATGATTATGATAGCTGATTCTGTTCAGGTTTTGCAGTTAATCCGCTATTATTTGTCTATTGATATTTTACCAAGAAAATTTGTAATAATTTCAACAGATTTGACTGAGAGCTATTTCATAAATTGTAATTTTATCACTGATAAATGATATAAAAAAATTTGTTCTTCTCTGTTAAAGTATGTGCCTACAAATCATTTCAAGTACATAATAAAAGACGTACGCAGACAGAGATGTCGGGAGCAAGAGGAAAGCGTGTGGACATCGTTTGTCAGACAACAAGAGTTGAATGGTTACAACAAAAATGGCATCCATCCATCTGTTCAGAGCATCAAACAACTGTTGGACGAAGGTATGAGGGAGGCGGATAAAGAACTTATGAAATTAGAGACAAATATTTTGCCTGATGAAGAAAGGAAAGAATATGATAAAACTGGAAACAATCAGAAAAGAAAGCCGAAGGTAAGCGAATTTTCTGTGAAAATAATACCATGAGAAGACTGATTGATTAAATTGCTAAAGCTCACATAATAATAGGTAAATAATATCAGGGACTCGACTTCGAAGAAAGCGCCCATTATGAAAGACACAGGGACAGGTAGCACTAATTTGTTACTTACAATTCCTGAAGAAAATAATGCTTCAGCTTATGAGAGGAAGTATCAGTCTGAGGATTTCAAGTCGTACACTAGAAAGTCTCGCTCTGGTCATGTAATACCACGAAAAAAGCAATCTTCGAGGCAACTGCATCATGCGATTAACGGCACCGAATACAATTCCAGCCCTGAAAGTAGCGCATGCCACAACGACATTGCAGATGGAATCATTTATGTACGACCAGATCCGTTTACTATGCACAAAATCTTGATGATGCAAAGGAAAGTCTGTGAGTTATTGGATGAAATAGCATTCAGACTGGGAAATATTTCGGCGCCGGATGGGATTAAGGATCTACAGAGGCGGCAGCAGTGCGTCGCCGAATTTATTGTTCGATTCTCGAGAAACTATCTATACGATCTTAATAGATACGTCAAGGATGTCCAAAGGCATATGTGCGTTATTTCACCACGCGCGATAATAAGGCCGAATCACAGAAATTTGGGACTTCACATGCATGCCATTGAGCATAAACTTCTTGCTGCTCATCAATTATTGCTGCACGCATTGGTTGCCTATTGTAAACACATTCCCAGTTCTATTCCCAAAGGACATCCTGGAAAGCTTAAAGAGATACTACAAGTGGTTCTCGATCTGAAAACTATGTGTGATAGACTCCACTTAAATTATTTCGATTCGGGGGACACTGATGTTTTGTCGTTGGTAATGTTATTTATTAATATAAATTTTTTGATAACTGATGATTGATTGGAAAATATTGCATCTTTTACATTTTATAAAAACACAAAAGACATATTCAAATTTGCATAGAAGTTTTCTCTTTAATTGCAGGGGAAGGAAATTGAAAGCAAATGCAATGTCGTTTTGTCAAAATTCAAGCTATATGCGGATAATGATTTTTTAGATACTAATAAAACCTCATCAATAGCGTCCATCACTCCACATTCAATGAATAAAAAACGACTCAATCGTAAACAATTATCTAATCGATTCAGTATGTACAGCGCGGATACCAAAATTTCCAAAAATATTTCTAAACCCAAAACAAGTATGTAAAATTATTTTATATATTAATAAGTTAAATGTATATTTGCGTATGTTATTTTAATTTGTAAACTATATGCATTATCTTTTAGATTATCATCAAAAAAATAAAAAATATAATACAATAAAAGAATCTGTTAAAAGAATCTCTAACGAGCCAATATTGGATCAGCCATATCCTAGTCCTATAACATCTATTAAAGATGCAAATCAAATAGACAAAGTTAGAAAACATAGAATATTTGCAAAAGAAGAGGATGTAAAAACTATGATGGATATATTACCCATAGATTCAGATGTAAACAATTTACACGCACAACAAATACAAGACAGATTTATTGTAACATTAATGTTCAAATATGTTGTTTCAAGATATTTATTATTGTCTATTTTGCAGGGCAGTAATTTTGAAACGCAGGAAAGACATAATAATGCGATGCTCACAAGAAGAATATTTAAAGCGCCAAGAAAATATTCTAGCAGGTCGCAAAATCAAAACCAATTAGAAACGATAGAAAATATTGTCAAGAATACGTCCACAAATAACGATGATGAATCCATGAAAAGAGAGCCGATGATTACAAAGGAACATTTATCTAACTTGGTGCCAGTTATAGCAGACTTCATGTCTTTTGTTTCTAATAAGGTGAATTGCAGCAATGTTACATAAATTATTTCTTCTAAGAAAAAACAATAAAATTATTTAATTATCTTGGTAATTACAATGTATCGTAAACATTAAAAATTTATACGTAGCAAAATGAATCAGAAACAAGACCAGCTTATTCTAAAACTATGACGAAGACACTAATGAAATTTTTACAAAAATATCAATTGCCTAAAAACATGAACGCAAAAATCAATGCGAACACAAGCTGTGACGTATGTTATTCAGACAGCAGTGAATGTGAATATGTTAAAACAAACAGGTATGAATAGACACGTATTTTATAAATACACTTTTCCTTATTTTTTCACGTTTGATAGATTAAGAAATTAGGTTCTAGTTAATATTTTGTTTTTAAAGAACTTTAACTGAAAGGCGAAAAAATGGCGAAAATATGCAATTGATTTGTATGTCATCGATAGAAGATGCATCAAAAGTACCTCGCTATTGCGATGCATCATGCCAAGCGGATTATGAGAGCTTAATGGAATTGCCGGATTTTGAAGCAAAGGTAAATTGTAAACAAACAATGAAAAATAATTAAAATATATCTTGAGAATCAAATGTAAAATTGTGATGATTAATATTATATTATAGATAAAGGAAGGAAAATTTAGGATAGATTCGCTGAATAATATCGAGCTTGTTGTTTCCGAGGAAACTGAGATGAATTTTTTGAAATATAGATGCGAATATCAACGATTAATGCAATCGATTCCAATGTACTCTAGCAATACACAAAATAAACCATGGGACATTGTCGCTTGGTAAATATAACACTTACTTTGAAAACTTTATTCTCTAATTGTGTTTACAACAAATGATATTATTGCAGGATATCTGATAAGCTCGTAGATGAATTGATAATAGAAATAGCAAAAGAGCTGCAAATAGATGACGTCATACAGAAGCTTTTCGAGTTAGAATTCCAAGAATTCTAACGTTAATTGAATTCTAACGTTGCTTCTTTGTCAAAGAAATGCATAAAAGCGGAGAAATGCATAAAAAGAAATCATATAAAAAAACTTTACTTTAAATTTGAGAAATTTTATATTATAAATTGCTAATTTTGGAAAAATATAGTATTATAATTTTTTTAAATCTCCCGTTTTTTTTCATTGAATGATAGGAGCAGATATTTTTTTGAGAGATGCATTTAAATATGAATACATATTTAAATACTATATCACTATAGTAATACAAAAAATATATCTGTTCGATTTGCCATCACCAAATTAGTAGAAAATATTTGTGGTAGACATCAATTGTGTCTGCATTAAACATATTTTACCAGTAGAATTTATCAACATAATCTAACAGAAGATTGACAGTAAAAACTAACAAATCAGATAAAAATCTGTTATTTCATGTTTGAGAATGGAATATATCCTACTGTCATTTTACTGACAAAATTTGTAGTTACACTCGCAAAATCTTTTTAACAGATTCAGTTTTTATATAAGATTATTTTTTTAATTTTTAATCCATAATTATATAATAAATCGAAATAAAATAATTACGAAATCCTTAAGTTTTTCTATGAAAAGAAACAATCTTAATGTTATTAAACAATCTATTGGTAAAGTAAAGCTAATTAAGTTTGCACATTTTATATACATATGTAACAAGTGCGTAATGTTTCCGTCAGCTGATCCATTACAAAAAGAAACGCTGGCTCGGCCGGCCATCATCGCGCATGTCTCGCATATATAGAACATACCAAAGAGACGGTATACATAATTTTTAGTGTCATGCTATATCAAAATACAGTTATAAATTTTGTATACATCGTACATACGTTCAATTAATTCTGATAAGTCACAATGAACCGACAAGTTGTTTTGAAACTATACAAGGACATTCTGAGGTATGGCGAAACTTTAAGGTTTACGAATAAGAAGTATTTTCGATACAGAATCCAGACTGCTTTCAGAACTAATAAAGATCTGTCTGACGAGACAGCGATAAACTTCCAATTGCAGGTAATCACGCTATTGAAGCGCGAATACTGTTTATAACCTCAATGTTTCTAACCTATAAATCACTGTTGCAATATTTCTTTTAAGTATATTACGTTGAATAATCCTGGAGTTAAAAGCAATATATTTAATCTAGAGAAAAAGTTTCAACATGTATGGAATTGTATTCAACATATAAAAACAAAATCGATTTGTTACATTCATGTATATATATATATAATTCTCGCTTTTAAAATGAATGTTTGCTTCGTTTTTATTTATATATTAAAGATATATTTTTACACAATATATATATTATTTTTTTAAATACACATAAAATGTCTAATTTTTTCCAATTTAAATTTTAAATTTTTGCGATATTATGTAGTTAAAGCTTTCTGTTGATTCAGAATTAATTTATTTCTTTATTTCTTCTTTCACAGAAAGGTATGAAATTCTTGGAAGCTAAGAAAGTGGTTTAAATCATCATTAGGTTTACTACAATGAGAGACATTTTATGAAAATAATAGAAGATGTTGATCAAGTCTGTATTGACTTGTCTAAAAGTTCCCAATAGCATTTTTTTCCTGGTCAGCCGCAACGAATTCCTCTTGTTAGGCATTGTGTTCAATTCCGAAAGCATACAAGTCCGCAACAAATCGTTTAAACGTTATCTCGATTACTCGAACGTTCCTAAGCTGGATGAGATCGATCTGGAGGAGCAATTCATCCGAGGTAGTGGTCCAGGTGGCCAAGCGACGAACAAGACGAACAATGCAGTCCTGTTAAAGCACAAGCCCACGGGACTTGTCGTCAAGTGTCACGAGACAAGGAGTCAGTGGGATAACAAGAAACGCGCGCGTGAAATCTTAGTGACAAAGCTTGACAACTTGCTGAACAAGGAACGCTCCATTGAAGCTCAGATACATGCTCTTGAGAAAAAAGAGCAGGCGCGAAAAGAATATAAGAGGAAAAAACTAAACGAAATGAAGAAAGCGTTTCGCGAACGTGAAGGCTTGACGTGACACGAGGTTGATCTATGTACATTTCTTTTAGAATGTAAATTGATTTAGGGATAAATAAAATTATATGAAGAGATAACTTTTAAAGCACTAAAGAGAGCCAACTTATAAATGTTAACTATAATTAATTGAATCTAACAGGTAAATAAATTTATGAGTTATCTAAACTTTGTTTTCAGAAATACAAAAGCTCCGTTTTATTTTTAAACTTTAAATAGTCAATTATGCTATATATATAATCTTTATTATTAACTGATTAGATTAATCATCTAAACTATAATTAAGATAAAGAACACTAAACTTGAAATTAAATCAGTCTATTGAACTTGTTGATCAGTTAGTTATAGACTTGTACAATTTAATTTGTACTCTCTCTCTCTCCCCCCCTCCCTCCCTCTCTCTTTCTCTCTCTAAGGGAGATATGGAAAAAAGTGTAATGAAATGATTTTTAATGGAAAATTTGTATATCTTTAATAATAATTTCTCTTTCTGAACTCATGAGCGGCTTACAGCAATTCTGCTTGAAATAATGTATATTTGGATATACTGGAGAATTGAAAATATAGAATATTATCTTTAATAATATACACAATATAACGGAACATATGTGTGCGTGTCTGTATGTATATGTACGTGTGTGTGTGTGTGTGTGTGTGTGTGTGTGTGTGTACGTGTGGTGTGTGTACATCTGTGATTACAATGTTATAAAGCTGTATGCAGTCTTGCGCACTCTAAAATATAACATACTCTAAATAAAAATAATTCTTAATCATGATCTGAATGAAACGACTATCATCAAAATGGTTCACAATTTTCGTTTGTATGAAACGACGAGAAAGAAAAAAGAAATAGAAAATAAGGAACGACATGGTACTAGTAAAAAAGATGTAATTGTTCTGTCTCTGAGAACACAATGACCGCATCTAAAGTATGTACACAGTAGGATATACCGCGGGTGGGGAGTGTTAAAATTAACCACCTGAAAGAACGTCACTAAGTAGAATGATATCACTAAAGAGAGAATATATATATATATACATATATATATATGTGTGTGTGTGTGTGTGTATGTGTGTATACATATATATATATATAATACTATGATGCATGTTAAATACTATTCTACGTACACAAATAATATTTTTATACACAATGTACACATTGGTAGAACGAGATATCGGATCGTGAGATCGATAAATGACCACCGTTGAAATCTAAGCCGAAGTACAGCCTCTTTCTTCTTCGTCTTTTTCGTTCTCCAGGTCTTCAGCTATTCTTCAACCACCGTCCAAAATGCCCGCGACCGGACTTAACACGCTTCTTCGGTGGCTTGGGATTCGATCGCGAGCCGACAGAACTTCTCAACCGTCTATTACTCGCCACCGTCACCGTCGACAGTATACCGTGATCTATGTCTATTTGATCGTCGATCTTCATCATTCGTACGACTGGTTGAAACTCGATGCTAGAACGACGCTGCTCAAGATCGCTGGACGATATTATCGACGGACTGATGCGCTCCGACAAGGCGCATTGATCTATCGACGGATTGGACGATTCTTGGATGTTATCTGACGATGAAATGGCTTCACTTTTACGCTTTACACTGCCGCGCACCCCAGAGCTTGGTGGCTGTTTCTTATTACACGACGTAATACTCAAGTAGGCATCCTTTTTACAATTTTCGTCCTCGTATATCATCCCGACGCGATCGGATGACAAATTGGCATTGTTGCGGGTGACAGTCGTTCTCGATTGACGTTTTTTGGGGTAAATCCGCTTTCGCGAGCCTATCCGACCGCGCCTCGTCGTGGCGAATACAATACCGTGACGACGTTTCAACAATTCCCCCGTGTCGGACGAGTTCTCCTCACAATTGCCGCCGCGGAGCTGTCGCTTCGACGACAACTCAGAATTAGAATTGTGGTGTTTCTTAGGAACTATACCGGTCTCCTCTTTTCTACACTGTAACTGCAGATTGTCCTGATTCTCGATCTCCGTGTCTCGTAATTCGCAGCTATCGGCACTAGTAACGGTGACATGCTCGCGCTGTCGTTGCTTTTTAATATGCGACGATTTTGCGATCAAGTTCTCGGTGATCGTATTGACATCCTTTCTGCTTAACAAATTCTTCTGATTCTCGTGATTCTCATCGTTACCTGAATCGTTTTCCAAGACCTTAATTTCCGATAAATCTTTTCTACATGGATAATCTTTGTTCGATAGATGAGTTTTATTCGTCCCATCGTCACAGGCGTTTTCCGAGACGGATTTCTTATAGTTGTCCGTACTCGCTGATAGGCCCATATTGTCACCGCTGGCAGCCTCTATGTTTTTGTCCTTTTTCGCGAGCGTCTCGTGATACGATTTTTTAGACGTAGTACAGGTTTCCAACGAAGCGTCGTCATCGTTTTTCTGACTGACACCTAATCGTTCTGCAACCATCGGTAACGCGTTGTTCGTCGACGTTGTTACCGCGTGAGAATCTATCCTCTCTGTGCTCAACGTGTGACGTCTAGAAAAATCAGAATAGAACTTCTTCTCCGCCAATGATTCCTGGTCGCAATCCGTCAATATTTTGTTGTTTGGTTGTATTTTCTTCTTCATCTTATTACCGACCGGCCAACCAGTCCGATTTTTTCTTCGTTTCCGTCGTTTCAACGGAATGTCCGCGTTTACCTCACCACATTCTGAACTAGCACACGATGAATTATTTTCCAGACAGTTGGTAATGTCTTGACAGTTGTCGAGCAATTCCAGTAGATTCGGTGGTGCACCTTTTGGTAAGTTCGTTTGACAAAAACCATCGGCTTGCGCCAAGTCGACATCGGGCTCAAATGAGTCGTCCAACTCGGTCATACCTTTCGCGCACAACATCTCGTCGATCGTCTTCGCTATCTCTTTTATCTCCTCGTCCACATCCAATTTGAGATCTGGTTTTTGTTCGAACTTGGGTGTGTTTATGCGCGATCTGACGGGTGACGATTCTTCTATCGTAGGCAGAGTCGATTGTTGTTCCTTTTTACGGATTATGGTAGACATAATCGCCAACGTGGATGCATGACAACGCGGACTCTTTCTTGGCGAGCGTCCCATACATCCTATACCGCGACCTCGGCCTCTCCTCCTACTGTTCTCGATTCTGCTCTGTGCTTTCATTAACGTTTCGTGAAAGTTTTCAATCTCGTACGGCAGAAGAAATGGCTTCATCTCCTCGCATTCGCTGAAACAATGCCAAAATTCGGCGCCTGTGTCCTGACGCTGATACGTTTGATACCACGGCTCAGACATAGGTATAGATTCAAAAGAGAACTGCATCTTCTCGATCTCTGCCGATGGCTTGGACGGATAAATTTTCTGGACAACGCCGTCGGCCTGCAACTTGCAATCTTCCGGTTCATGTGTCAATCTCTTCGCCGTCCCGTGTTCCCTACCACCATCCATGGCAGTGTCTTTAACACCAGTCAATGGAGCCTGGTACCTTAACCTGCTGCCAGGTGTCTCGAATTTGTAGTAGTCGGTATTGTCTTTGATGAACGCTTCGGCCTGTGTGCGTCTTCTTTTCCTTGCTCTGCCTAGGTGCATGGAATCCTGCGAGTCTTCTTCGATAATCTCTTGCTTAATGGAACTGGAATTTAACGATGAATTCAGCGATATAGATGAATTGATAGTGTCGTTAGGCTCGCTTTCCGTATCTCTTGGCAGCACGCTACTCTGCTCGCTGTCACTGGTTCGCTCGCTGGAATCGTCTCGCTTTGGCTCACCGAACATGAAGGATTCCGCCTCATCACTCAACAAAGATAATTCTGATTTCCTCACACGCTTAAATCGCACTACTACCGGCTTTTCATTGGATGGCGCCTCCTTCTTCTCTTCGCTCTCCCCGTCCTTCAATGTCGCATGTTGCGAATTACTGCCTGGCACCGCGCTCGATCGCAGCTTGTTACCCAACACTTCCACTTTGTAATAGGCACGATTATCCTCTATCAAACGTTCTTCCACCGATAGTCGAGCTCGACATCGACCTCTGATATTTCTGCCACCCCTCCGATTCATGCGCGGATGCTTAGACTTCATGTGACGAGTATTCTCTCCTTGCGACGTTTTCAGGTCCCTTTGTTCGCTCTTGTCGTTATGCCCATTGCAAACAATCTCATTGGCATCATTCAACGAAAACTTTCTCGCATCAGTTGTCATCTTTTCTGCTTGCAACGCACAATTGTCTCTCTGAAACGGATCGTCTTTGCTTCCAACAATGTAATTATTATCAACTACATCGACTTCTTTTATCGTACACTCCACAACACTTACGTTTTCATCACCATTATATTCGTTTTTATTATTAAGATAATCTGGATCCTCCGATATGTGACGCGAATTTACAATACCATTTTGCGCATTTCTATGTACGACCGATTGTAATTTTGGTGGATCCAGATTACTATGTTTATTATTGATATTATCTTCCTTACTGTTATAAAACTCGGTATTGTTCGAGAACGGTCTGATTTTGTAGTCTTCCTGCTTGGGTTCCTTAAGGATATTCTCCGTGTACTTTTCATCCGGGTCATCTTCCTCGATCCAGATAGTACCTTTTGAGCGCTTTTTGATGGTAAAACCTTCTAATTTGTCATACAATTTCTCGCTCTTGTCGACCTCATGCCATGGACTGCCCTTAGATCTGAGAAGATGTCCGCTCTCGTGTTTCGAGATACGAGCACGCAGATTATGCGATGAACTTAATTTTAAATTAAGATTTCTACGCGCACCATTCACCATTTTTATCCCGTCGACAGTAAAGTTATTTAAAGTTTTGGTGTTTTTGTTAACTTTTTCCTCAGGCAATACATTATGAAGATTACCATCTCCATTGGGAAATAAGTCACAGTCTTTCCTATAAAGTAACAGACAAAAATAAATTGTTATCCGAAATACAAACAATAACTGTTTATACATGATACATATTATATTGCAAATATGAATGATTCTTTTTACATACAACAAATATTAAACTCCAATAAAAAATTAAATTAAAAAGTGAATTATGTAAGATTTTATTTTTTATTTATGAATACTTACACGATATCCTTTGTTCTGTTTAATTTTAAGAAC